TACTTAGAGAGTTGGCAGGGGTTCTTTCATGCCCACTGGCCTCCATTTTTGAGGCCTCGTGGAGAACGGGTGAAGTTCCAGAGGACTGGAGGATGGCATCAGTGGTCCCAGTTTTCAAAAAGGGTAGTAGAAGGGACATGGGGAATTACAGACCGGTTAGCCTTATGTCCATTGTAGGAAAAACAATGGAAAGGCTCATAATAGAGAGAGATCTAGTGATGCTAGATAGGGAAGGGAGGCTGACAGCCACACAACATGGCTTCCGCAAAAACAGGTCCTGCCAGACAAACCTTGTGGAATTCTATGACAAGGTTTCGAGATGGTTAGATGGAGGGGATGCAGTGGATGTGGTATATCTGGATTTCAGCAAGGCCTTTGACAAAGTGCCCCATGATATCCTGGTTGAGAAACTGAGGAGTTTTGGGATACACCAAAGCACTGTTTAATCTTTTCATAAATGACATGGAAGAAGGGGTGAACAGTCTGCTGATCAAATTTGCAGACGATACTAAAACTGGAGCATTGGCCACAACTGAGGAGCAGGTACTCGAGATCCAAAAGGATCTGGACAGACTATGGAAGTGGGCAGGAGACAACAGGATGGCGTTCAATGTGGATAAGAGCAAGGTCTTGCACTTGGGGCATAGGAATAGGTGTCATAAGTACAGGTTGGGGGACAGGTGGCTGGAGAGCTCAGGGTGCTGGTTGACTGCAGGCTAAACATGAATCAGCAGTGTGATGCGGTGGTCAAGAGGGCGAACGCCACCCTTGGTTGCATAGCCAGAAGTGTGGCTTCTGGATCAAGAGAGGTATTACTACCACTCTATATGACTCTGGTGCGCCCGCAACTGGAGTATTGTGCTCAGTTTTGGGCCCCTCATTACAGAAAGGATATAGCCAGGTTGGAGTCAGTGCAGCGTAGGGCCACAAGGTTGGTGGCCAGTTTGCAGGGGATGTCGTGTGAGGCGAGACTGAAGGAACTGGGTCTCTTCAGCCTGGGGAAGAGACTCAGAGGGGATATGCTGGAGACATACAGGTATGAGGGGATGTCACACGGAGGTGGGTAGAGACCTGTTCTCCCCTGCAGAGGAAGGCAGGATGCGCTCCAATGGAGAAAAGCTCAGGGAACCAAGGTTCCATTTAGATGCCAGGAAACACTTCTTGACAGTTAGGACCCCGAGGGTGTGGAATGGGCATCCACAAGAGGTTGTTGAGGCCCCATCGGTGAGGATGTTCAAGGAAAGGCTGGAGATGCACATAGTGGGCATGTTGTGAGCGAAGCTGGCTGAAGCTGGGGGTCAGACTAGATGGCCTGGGAGACCCCTTCTGACTCTCTCTGTTTCTATGTTTCTGTTTCTACGATATGCTCAACAGTACTTCCCACCTCCACTGCTTCCCAGTGCTCCTGTGTGACTCATGCCTCTTTGCTTGGTACTAAGGCAGCTCCAAGCATATCATCCTCTGAAGAAGAAATCAGGGATCTCTCCCCCTCTGATGTTCAAAGTACTAGAAAGCTCTCTTTTAGCCTTATACCAGCCACTCACAACTGTGGTGAGATTGAATGTAACCATCAGTATGGAGAGCAGCTTAGAACAGCTAACAGCATGACTACAGACCATCCACACTGATTTGATTTCTATACAACCCAATAGCCAAAGCTCTCTGTGTGGATTACAGCAATTCATGAAATACAAAAAATACAGTATACAAAGAAGAATACAAGCATCATGAAATTTCACTACATTAATTAATAACAAAAATCAAACAAATTAAACAAGGGCCCAAACCTACCCCCCCACTCCCGACATCTGGTGGCCAGAGAATTATTTGCAGACCCAGCATAAAGCAGGATGGACTGAAGGCTGGAAAATGAGAAACTGACATGAACATATTTGCTATTTTTCATGGTGGACAAGGGCGCAGAGCTCTACCCATATGTGGATGACTAGTTCTCAGTGGTACAATGAAGAGGCAAATAATTCAATGCCCTCCTGTTCAAAATGAGACTTCTATATGCCCTCAACCTCCATGTCAACATGGAAAAGCCCTGTTTGAATTCCTCTCAAAGGATCCAGTTCAATGGGGCCATCCTGGATTCCATTTCAGTGTTCCTGTCCCAGGTTAATTTACATACCTTGCAGGACGTGGCATCCACAGTACAGCTGAATACCTAAGTTCTGGCTTTTACTGTTTAACTCCTAGGCCTCATGGCTGCTGTGGTTGCAGCAGTTCCTTTTGCATGCTTAAAAATGAAAATTTGGTTTTGCCTCCAAATTGCAACCTCAGAAGGACTCAATTACAAATTGGTTCTAGTATGATCTGTGTTCTGATCCACTAATTCTTAATGAAGGCAAGGAGCATATGGGAGGCTGCATGTGATAGCTTTCTTGGTATCAACATATTCTACTTTAGTTCCTTGAGACAGTCATTCTGTTGTCCATGCCCGAAAGGAAAGGAAAAGCTTCAACCATGCTTTCAGTTTTAATGTTGCATTGGACAGTTCCATTTTGATTTCTAGATATATATTTTATTAGCAAATGAAGGATCATCAAATTTTGGTAGCTATTGCCCATCACAAATCTAAGTCCTTCTGTTAGCTGAGCTACATTATCAGCAGAGACAGTTTACAAACATTTTAAGAGGAAAGGCTGCTGACAAATAGTACAGCTTCTGTCATGTCTTTTATTTGCAAGCCAAAAGCCATTAATAAAACCCATACAGGATTTACTGGAATAAAAAAAAAAAGAACTGTGACAACTGTTAGAGCTTTAGCCATGTTTAAAGCTGCTAAGGTGAAAAGCAAACTGCTGGGTCACTTGGCTATGTTGATCAGACGGCAGATAACATGTATTTCTTAAGACACATTCAGGTTGCAACCCAGATAAATTTCCCACCCCCGCAGACACACACAAAGCGATAATGTATATGTGGTAATGCATATGAGGGACACACCCTTAGATAAGATTATCAGATGTTCTATTTCTGGGGATCCACCAATTCATCTTCATTGGCCATAATGAACCATCAAATGCTTTCAGCATGATTTGATGGGAAAGCTATTAAAGTTTGTGTAAGTCTGGGAAAGGTCAGAATTAATAAACATGATGGTCTCAAATGGTGACATTTAGAATGTCCATTAATAACTCAAATTATGCTAAAATGGTCCAACATATTTGATCATAAATGAGCTACCACCACTCTCTTGAAATGTAAAACAAAGACATCCTCAGAAACAGTGTGTAAGAGAATATAATTAAATGTAAAAATCCATGGAATGCAAGATCAAAGGACTGATAAAGCATAACATAGCTAAAACCTTGTGATATTAATTTTTCTTTTTTCCAAGCAATTAATGAGACAATCCTATTCCATTGATCATAACCCCCCAAACTCAGAGGCTTACAAAGAGGTCCCTTCTATGCTGTGCAGCAGGAAACACCCTCCTGCCTTGCATTTTTGCTAGTGGGGCCGTTTTTTGTCCACTTTCCTGATTGAACTTCATTCAATAGTATTTGACAGGAAAAAGTAGGAATAAGATCCAGTATTCTAAGGGTAGTACGAAGGGGAAATACCACTTTCTGCTCTATTGCCTGTCTCTGGGTTATAGAGATCAGGCAGCTGAGAGAAGGAAACTTCAAGTAACAGTCTATTTGTCAAATAAAAGAAATTTCAGATAGTTTTGATGATAGTCCCATTCACCATTTCTGCAAAAATAAATAAATAAATAGAAAAGTTAGTTTGCCTGGGAAAAACCTCATACACTGAGAAATATGTGCTAAAGGCATTTGAGGAGGGAGAAATTAATCTGAAACAGGCATTTAATTAAGCCCTAAAGGAACTGAAAACAGGTTTAAAAGGCCGAATAGGCAAATTAAAGGAAGGGACTAACTAAAAGTCAGTAAGGATAATTATGGAATATAAAAGAAAAAGGGTGGAAGAGGCAATGAACTTATTAGAGAAGGAAAAACATGAAGTATTTTGTAATGTGGATCAGCTCCTTGGCCCACTGGGAACAAGGGAAGGGTTAACTCTGTAACAAATTAACTGTTATAAACCCAGGTGCCAGCAATGCAGCAATCTGGCACCCAAGATCTTGAGAGGCATCCTCCTCCCTTGGTGATATATTTTGGGAATTAAGTTATGGGCCTCAAGGATGCCAGGGATAACAGCAGTAACTGGTTAATGACCAACACTTGGAGTGGTTTGTCCCCCCCCCCCCCCAATTGGGAGATGGGCTGCTGCCCCTGGGTCAGCTGACCTGTGCTATGGATGGGGAGAATACAAGCCAGGAAAAGGGCCTTTGTTCCTCTTCTGGAAGGTTCCACACTACTATCTGTTGGCTGTGATGAAGAATGCTGTGAAGCCCTGTGCATCTTGATACTGCTGAAGGTAGAACTTTGGTGCATAGCTAAGGATAGAGTCAGCTTTATTTTCTAGTATGAGTGGGCTAATAAGGCCCTGGGAGTTGGGGTTTCTTGGTTGGCTGTTAACTGTGTTGTTGCTGCTGTCCAACTTCCCCTTCCCCTATTCTACCCTGCTTGTATCCCATTAAATTTATGTTATAAAGCTGCCCATCAGCACAATACTCTTTCATTAGATTGTATGTTTTAGCACCCTCCACTCTTACATTTTATCCTTTTAAATAAACGTGTGTGTTCACCAAGTTTGGGCTGATATGTGCCGAATCCAGTGACTGGTCCTGGATTGAGGGACCAGAGAAATACTGGGTGGGATTTTGCCCAGTTGGCTGGGGGAACTGGGAATCCTTGACAGGTTTGTTACATATGGGTTTGGAGAAAAGACACACAGGCTATGAAGATACGTCGACTGAATGAGATTGTAGAAAAGGAAATTAGGAACATATGGATAGAATAGGAAGAAGTCTGAATTCCATACAATGATTTAGAAAAAGGAGGCCAATCTCTGGCTGCAGTTCCCTAATATGAAATAATCATGTCAAGCAAATGAATACTGAACAGGAAAAAAATCCAAACTTCAGATACAGTGTTAAAGTGTTTATATTTAAAAAAATCAAAACATCAGTACAATAACATAAAAGGAACATGTGGAACATACAAATCCATATATAAATAAACACATTTACAAAAGAAGAGATGTACCTGCAGAATAACAGATTGTCAAAAATCAAAATTAAATCCAGGGAGCAGCATGTTCAGTGCAGTATGTTCTGCTCAGGAATTTCAAATCTCTCACAGAGAGGAAAACTGGCTTTTATGAAACCCAGCACTTGATCCTCTCCTGAAAGGGAGAGACATGTCAATAAGACCTTCAGTTCTCACCATTTCTACAGGGCTAGGTTTAATGTCATGAAACTTAAATTTCAAATACAATCTGGTAAGATTTTCTAGTAAGAACACTTAAAAAGCAAACATGGCAACATCCATTAAGACAGGAGTGATGCGACCCTTGGACTTGCTCACCAACAGTGTACGGGGAAATGAAGTACTGTTCCAGGCATGCCTAGTCAGACACTGTTATTCCGTCCCTGTCTCCCCCCCACCCACCTCCGGTCATTTTTGAGGACCCTGAGAAGAGGCCTGCATTTTGGCAGCTAGGTAAACAAAATGGTGTGGCAGTTGGAATGGAAATGGGGAAACTCAGCTTTCCTTTTTAAGTTAAAAACAAGTTGAAGGAGGATGTTGAATGTTAGAAAAGGTTCAGAAAGATTGCAAGGATGATAAACCCAGAGATAAGTGGCAGATTAAACAGTGAACTAGCTTATTGTAGAATGCACTTTCACAGTCAGGTAACTATGGAAGGTGCAATAAATAGCACCTGTGAAGGCAGGTGACAGCTAGTATAATTTTTTGGCAGGAAGCCACCTAATCTTTTCCTTTGAAATAGAAGTATCCAGCTTTCTAAAAAGCATACTTAGCATAATATGTAGTCCAGACCCAAGATACTCCTGATCGTGCTGGCAAGGATCACAATAACTTACAAACACACAACATATGGCATTCATGGGGTGCATATCTACCCCATGCACACACAATGACCCCCCCCCCGGGTATGGCCACTTTTGACCATGTGATTTGATGGGACATATTCCAGCAGTGGAACATCTTTTTTCTTGCACTTTAATTGAAAATCCCTGGATCAACATAAGGAAAGGCAAGGAACTCTCCCAATTTGTTGCCTTCTTCATCATAATGAAGCATTTGGAAGCAGACATCACAAAAGAAAGAGGGGTCTTGTGGAGCAAGGCTGTCTTCATTGGTCACCCATCTGTAAGTGTCAAAGCAAAGAAATGCTACTATTACACAAACCAATAGCCAGTTTTATTTGAGATCTACCTTCTGAACAGGGTTCATATAAGTTGACTACATTGTGTTTAAAGCCAATGTTTCTTCCTCTTCTGAGGAACCCAAGGTGGCCTATATAATTGGGAAACTGTGCTGGGATCATCTTCCCCTCCCATAGCTGGTGTGGAAAGAACTGTCTGCTGGCATAATCTCCACTGTTGTAAGAAGGGATAAAGAAGGTGTTCTGGGTGGAGGGGAGGAACTGGCAGAACTCTCAGAAGCATTTCTGTTATCTTTGAGAAATCATGGAGGATGGGAGACTGCCAGATGAATGGAGAAGAGCTAACGCCATCCCCTTCTTCAAGAAGGGAAAAAAAGGAAGAAGTTGGGAACTATAGGCCAGTCAGTCTGACACCCATCCCTGGGAAAATTCTAGGTAGATTATAAAGCTCTGCAAACACCATGAAAACAATGCAGTGATTACTAGAAGTCAACACTGATTTGTCAAGAACAAATCCTGCCAGACTAATCTGATTTCATTTTTTTGATTGGGTAACCTCCCTGGTGGACTGTGGGAATGCTGCAGACATGAGACTTAATTTACTACATTTCTCCTGTAATCATTAGTCTATACCCAGGTTTACCTTAAATAAAACCTTCCCATTAGGGTTTTACTAGAATGAAAATGAAGTCCTATAACACATGGCTATTTTATTTGAAATGATCTTACTAATTCTAATCAATCTGTTTGCAAATAATTTAAAAACTTGCAAATAAAACTACAAAATTTACTAGTCTGCAAGTTTTTCTATCAGCCTATAAAATTAATAGTAGTAATGACTGAAAAAAGATCAGGAATAATGTTAACAAAGTGAGGCATTTTCTATAAACAAACATGACTCTTATGTCTTCTTTGTAAGGATGTCTATCCAGAGTTTCAGAATTATTGTTTCAGTCAATTCTTGAAAGTTATACAATACAGTAATTTTTGTAACAGACAGCATTTCAAGCAGTGAAACCAAAACCACAGTCCTTCATATATAAAGCAAACTTTTGGATAGATCATGCAGTAGATGGTATACAATTTTAGTTTTACTTGATTACATGACTAACTAAACTTGCTTTAATTCAACAGATCTACTCTAAGTAGGCCAAACATGGGATATAACCATTTTTTTAAAACAATTGGGGCACTGCTTACTGATAGTAACCAACTGCAGATGGTATTTCTAATCTATTTGTTTTGACACCATCTAGCAACTGTAAACACTAAGAGAAATGCACAATATATGCAAATACGCAGTTCATCAAGGTGAAATATCCATCTGATCACTCACCTAGCTGTGTACATTTTGCATACAAAGCATTTCTTGGTCGACAGCCAATGCTTCTTCGTTAACAAAGGATAGAGGCTTCTATCCAGGCAGTCATCTCGATGAATGAGCCTTACAGAGAAAGATCACATAAGGGAGCAGCCAGACTACACCACTCATGTCCTATTTATGCACCATCATCATCCTTATCATCTGCATGTAGGCACCAACAAAGGTTACAGTGTGCAGCATGCCTCTTACACATCCAAAATGAAGCAACAGAGGGTGCTCAATAGCAGGAGACCCAGGTCTCCTAGCTTCCATCCAAAGAATCTAACCACACACACTAGCAAATTGCAAGCCATTTTGCCCCCTCTTATGAGATCATGTACTAAGTATAGGTGAATATTTCCAAGAAATCTAATGTTTTCAGCATGTTCTCAGAACCAGCTCCCATCTACTGGAAGGTACAAGAGCTGGGAATGATTCCAAGGAGTAACTAGATCCTTTCTTCCAGTCACTGAAGCCCCATGTTAAATGTGTGGGGAGTTCCTCATCATCCCAATCTGGATGTATGAACAAGGGAGCTCAGCTGCTTTGTTCTCATCAGCATTTAGGATGGCAATCTGTGAAGGGTCAAGCAGGGCTTGCTGCCTTTCTCTTACCAGGCACCCAAGGAGCTGCACCTAGCCTCAGGGCTGCTGCCTAGAGGCTCTCAGGTCAGCACGACTGGCAAGGACAGAGTGGCTACGGAGAGAGAGAGAGACGCCTTGTCTCTCTCACATCACATCACCTGCTTTGCCCACTTGCAGCTTGCTTGCTATCCCAGCCAAACTTAGTAATGCCTGAAGTGTGGCAGGGAAGAAAGGGAGTAAGAAAAAAGGGGGAAGGATAAAAGGAAGGCAGGGGAGAGGGTGGAGGAAGGACATGCAGGCGAAACTACAACAATGATGGTGGAGGAAATTCAAGGTGACTGGAAAAAGGAAGCACAGAGGAAGACATGACATGAGAGGGAGCAGGAACAACACTGCTGATGCTAAAGCAACTCTTGGCCAGGGCAAGGAGTCAGGCCACAGGTCAGTAAAGCATCTGCTGTACAGAAAGTTCACCTCCTTGGGGAAAAGAAATCCTTTGCTTGCTCCCTTTACCAACATCACGCAGGTTGGACTGAATAAGCATCTTAATAGGTCTGTGTCAGAGAGTAAGGAAGACTGAGGAATTGAACAGTGTGGTGTGTTAAGATAAAAGCCAACAAGAGGGACTGCTGGAAAAGCAACCAGCAGCCCTGGGCTTATTACAGGTTGTTCCTGGATACAAAGGATGTTTCATGGAAAGGCAAAGATCCAGTCCATGATGGATACAGCCAATCGTGATACTGCTATGGAGCATTTATATTTTTGGTTTTTGGCTGAAGTTCAAATGGACTTTTGTGAATTTAACTATGGAAATAACATTAAAATCTCAATAAAATCAATTCAAATGCCTTTTGACTGAGGTCCTGCTGACAGAAGCAATGAATCAAAGGGGGAGGGGTAGATATTTCCCTTCTTCCAGACCTGATAACACAATCAGGTATATCCTGTTCTAACACACTGGTAATAGCAAAATCCAGTGGCAAGCACCAGCTGCAGTAAAGCCAACATGGAAACAACGTATCTGCAAGCTTGGGGGAACCCTAAAGTATGCAGGAGTATAAACAGCTTTATTTTCTTTAACATTAAAGGGGCAACTTCCATCTCTCCCAAAACAGTCGAGTAAGCCAAAGCATGCTCTATAGTCAGAGAACGTACAATAGGCATTGGAAAAGAAACATGAAAAATGGTGGGAGGAGGGAAGAAAGGATGGAATAGATTGTGTCCCACTTTTTCCTCTTCCAATGCTTACTGATGGATGAATGACCCAACAGTATAACCCCTCAGGTAGACAACAGCAGGTGTGCACCACTGTACATGAGAATTTCTGCATCACCATGTGTTGACGGTGGACTGGGAATGAAATCTTTAATAAGTTCAGAGAAGGGTCCCAAATCGAAGGGGAAGCCTTGCACATGAATATTTACCTGATATCTGTGATGATAACAATGTGTTCACAGTCTCCTTGGTGACAGTAAAGGTACGGGAAGCCTATTTTGATGTTCAAGTCATTAAATGTGTAGTCTTCCATTTTAACACCTTGAAGATTCTCATAGCCTCTGTTGCGAGATTCTGCCCACTCGATAATTGTCCTGAAATTATTATTGTCAATATTATTGCTGCTCTCCTAAGCTTTCTATGATAAAAGTGGTAAAGCAAAGAGAACATGACAAAACCCAAATATCCATAATGGATCTTGAATGCGTCTCTTTTGGTAACAAAAGCGTTTTATCTCAAGATATAGGCAAGGTAAGTTTTCAGAATGGTTTCAGCTACTATATAAGCCCCAAAGCATAACAATATGATTGGTAAGAACTACACACCAATTAGACCAAAAGGGGTTGTGCATAATGTCAATTTTATTAGTTTTCTAAGGAACAGCAAGAGAATCCTTTGGTTCTACCCAACTTTCTTTCTCCATGGCAGTTAAGTTTTTGTAGTTGCAGAAGGCTATGGCCAGCTAAAAACAACTGCAGCAAGGTACTTGCCAGTGTATCTAGGACATCTAGTTCCCAGCCACGGATTCCCTATACTTGCCATCGTCCATGACCGTTATTCATGCTGGCTGAGGATAAAGGAAATGAGTCCCATAATATCTATGCACCTGAGGTTCAGAACCATTGTACACAGGTAAGATTAGAAACAGATATTCTGGAGAACAAACATGGGATTCGTAAACCCATGTGTCCCACATAACATTAATTCAGAGGCCAGAAAGCATTCGCAGGAGATTGGTGCTAAGAATAATGCTTCTGCCAATTCTTCCCTACAAATGCCACCCCTTGTTTTTAAAGTCCCCTCCTCCCTACCCTAGCAGAAATCAAAATTAATTTATTAAAAGCTTTTCTATCCCATCCCCTACAGAACATCTCAGGCCGGCTTACAATAAATAAATAGAACAGAACAGCCCCAAAGCAATCCAGAGAGATCCAAGCTGGGAGGGAAAAAAAAGGTAAAGAGGATCCTCCCCAAAGTGCCTCCATTGCTTTCTCAGCCGTTCCTGTTACGTCATTTGCCAAGGTAGTAGCTAGTTCAGTCCTAACTTGGTAACATTCCAACACACCAATTCAACCATACGATTTGCTCTTAACTTGCAAAATAGCCTTTTTGACTCCCACCCTATCTATGGTTCCATTTTACATATGCAAATATAAGTGTTTTACCTGCTTAAGTCTCTGCACTCTGCATACCTGCTATCATTGTAAAAAACACCTTCAAAATAAAAGAAGGCAGACTTGTAGAGATCCTGTGGGGGTGGAGGGAGGACACAGAGAAGAATGAAAGGGAAGGTATTAGTTCAGTAATTATATATGTAAGGTAAGAGCTTACATTTTCTGCATGTTTCTGGCCCATCTCAAGCTCCTCATCAAGATGCTGTTGGCATGCTTGGTAGCTGCCCCACTATTAGTTACCTTCTGTTCTTTGGAAATACATGAAAATCCAAGGCTGAGACTCACCTACAACAAAGGATCCTGGGACACATTCCCTGAAACTTGCTACACAAATGCTCCCCAGAGCACATAAAGAGTGATGGAGAAGTCCTAGCACTTGAGTCAAAGGGTTATTTGCTCAATGAACCGGTGTAATATTCGAGGTCAAAAGTGCAGTTAAAGTTTTCACTTTCTAATCAATACATACATCAAAAAGCTTGATATATATTCTCTAGAATCATTTATAGAATTTCCTTAGTAAATTTGACTAAAGATATAGATCCAGAATTTCACCTAGCCAAGCTTGAAAGGAATGTGTTTAAGCCTTTGGATGGATAGGTTTTAATTTTAGGAGGGCTGTTTTGTAATAATGGACTAATTAAGCCTATGAGTCCTAGTTTACAGTACAGGATATAAATATGAGGTTATATCTACAGAGAAATGATATAAGTATGTTCGATTTTGGAATGTGGTTGTTACATACTATCTAGAAGCTCAACAGGTTTACATGCCTGCCAGATCAACATCTCATTCAGACTTGAAGAGGAAAGTTGTTACTTATATGGAAGCTCTCACTTTAGACTATTAGGACCCAAAGTCTTTGAGAACAAAAGTGTTTAGAAAATACTCATTTCTATTTAACTATTACGATTTACGAATCATTGTCAATGTTATCCTTTGTATTAACAAGAACTGCTTTTTAATCTTATGCAATAAAGTATATTTTGATGTTATCCTTTGAGGGTACAGGCAATATCTGATGGGGTGCAACCACTATTCAACTAAGCTAGTGGAATGCCAGTAGTATTAGCTGGCATGCTGATGCTAGAACAGTTCACAGGTGCACAAAAGACTTTACATTAAGGTTTGTGCCTGTTGGATAACGGCATATGAAATTTTATAATAAAATGAATATGAAGCCAAGATTTTTTTTTCTCCTGCCAAGGGTTGTTACAAAACCAAAAGTTGAACTCATTTTTCTATTTATCAAGAACTTATTAACATTTTGTACTGCCACTTGGCACTTAGTTATGACTACAGCATGTACTTTTAGCTGAAGTGAACACTGAAGTATTTTTAACAATTAGAAAATTCTCAAGCTTCTGCTGGTCATCCCACTTCATGTCATAACATTGGTATTCTCTGAATATACAAAATATAGAAATATTGTTCATTTCTCCAAATTATTTGAGAAACAGCCATGCATGCCTGCCAGAAAAAGCAAACTTTTATCCATCAGCCATTAAAATCTGGCAGAAGTGCATTAATGGCACACATCTTCCTTTCACAAAACATGATGCTGGATAGCACTGGAAAAGATGGTGAATCCTATGAAATATCCTCTTATGTTTGTTAGAAAATTACAGTTCTTCCATAAAAGGCAATTAACATTTTACTGACTTGAATCAGCACTGTCAATGGTCATACAATTTGCCAAATGAAGACTAGCCAGTGAATATTTATTATTCATACCAAAAGTCGGTGCTCTAAGGCAAGGCTGTTCTGATTGTCTTCTTAATATGCCAAAGAGCTCTCCTAAAAGCCAGAAGTCAAGTGAAAGGGAAAGGCAAACATGATTGAAAACACTGTATTTTTTACCACAATTACTTTCACAGTGACATTCAGAAGTTGCTTCTTGCAGCCAGAGGGAAGCTTCAGTCTGGCAATACTGATACAAACTGTCATCCACATATAGAATAATGTTTTGAGGGGCCTTTTCAGATACTGTTTTAGTAGGTGTACACCTCTCACATACATTTTAAATATACACCCAAAATGTAAAGTCTGAATGCACATCACACAGACCAAACACATCGGACAGACAGACACCTTGGGGAATGGTGACTGCCTGCATTTACTTTAAGTTAATACTGAGTTTGATCTTCTAAGAACACCATGGTCCTGTACTTGCAGCTTTTTCAAAAAGAAACTTTTTCTTCTTCCAAAATATACCTTCATTGTATTTTCATAAAAACTGACTGGCCTGATTAAAACTAGATAGCAAACACATAAGTAGCTGATAATCCTAACAAGAGGTCACTTAAAATGCTACACCCTTTCTGAACCACAAAAGGGCTAACTTAAAAAGAAAAACACCTTTCCTAAGTTCTAGTAAAGCTTTTCATTGATGTTCAAGTGAGACAGCTGCTTTAAGCCTCACAAGCCTCCTCCAGAAGCAGCTAAGCATGTTTTAGAAGGATCAGCATTTCTAAGTGTGATGTGCAGTCTCACCAAATGTAGAATTACAGTCCACTTTTAGAACATTTCAGAAATAAACGTAATAGTACCTTGCTGATACTTTCAGGTGCTTGGTTAGGTTGATTGCTGAACTCCCCACCGATCTGAAGATCACTGACGCAGGAAATGGAATCTCTCAGCTCTGTAAGTTTTTGGCTACCTAGAACCAACAATGTCTGATAGGGCTTGCGGAGCTTATGCTGCAAAGGATACAGACAGCCAAGATCAATCAAAACTAGAGCGAGGCATTGCTGACTCTGTTGCTGCTACTGAAGACCCAATGGACAGGGCCTTTAGTTTCCTCACAGGGAGGAAACTGTAGTTTTGGGGCCTACCAAATATGAGATTTATAAACTGGCCTCCCTCTGCTTATGGATAGCTGAAGAACACAGAGGGTGTGCACAATACATAGGAAGCTGATCTGAATCGTATTGGTCTAACTAGCTCTGGACTTCTCTCTGTTCAAGCGCTAAATTCCATTCCAGTGAACCTCTCAGGGCCACATTCCAGAGCTGGCTGAGGCTGAAGGCAAAAATGGGGAGGGCCAAAATAGCTGCCCATTTTAGCATCACATTCTCCCGCCAAAGGCTAAACATTAAGGGAGGAAACTGCACAAAAGTCAGGAAACCACCAATGATCAGTGAGCAAACAAAAGGAGTGAGGCCAAAGAAAGGAGGCAAATCTCAGAGGGCCAGACTGTGATGTCCAGATGGTGAGAACGGTCCTCTAAGCCTGAGCTACCTCAGTGTTTTTACACTGACTGGCAGCCATTCTCCAGTGTTTCAGATAGGAGCCTTTCCCACTCCTACTTAGAGATGCTGGGCAATGAACCAGGGACCTTTGGCATGCAAAGCCACTTTCCCAAACGTTTTTGTTTAAACAAGTGTATGTAAGGTAAGCTCAGTATTCATTCAGTGTGGTATAGTGGCAGATTTGGTAGTAAAAGAACACAGTATTCTGCTAGAACTTGCACCTTAATACAGGATGCCTCTTCAATATTAAGTCTACTTGTTCTTGTAGAAACACCTGCAGCCACTGGCTCTGCAACAGACTGATATGGTTCACACATTGCTAGTGCAGAACCCTTTTCTGCTGGAGAACTCTGATCCTAAATGCATGTATCTGGAAGTACTGAACTCAGTGGTGCTCATATATGACCAGGAATGCACAGTGAAGGCTTTAGGTTGGGCTTTTGATGGAGAGGTAGGGCTGAGCAGTCCAGATTCCATTTATCGATTTAAAAGCCTAACTAAACTGTGCCTTCAAACTCAGAGCAGCCCCTATTTTGTTCAAGGATGTGCTCCAAGAAACCCAAACTTCACACAACACCTCTACAATTCAAAATGCCCCCGAGTTATAAAACATTTATGAACCAGAGAAAAGTGTCTATTGGTAACTCAGTTTTCTCAGTTCAACTTATCTTATAATGTGTTATGAATATACGTGTATGAAATGCCTCATTCATACCATCCTGAGACTTTGTGAAGGGCAAGATATAAACACTACAAATAAACAAACAAATAAATAAATGTAATGAAGAAGGGATGTTTCATTGATTGTTCTATGTAGTACATATTGTTCTTATTGTGTAATGTATATGAATTTTTAAAATAATAATCAGCAGCAGGGGAAGAGGAAGAAGCCACCAACCTTCTGAAATATAACTGGGTAGAAAATATTGAGGGTTAAAACAAGTTCTGACTCCTTGACTAGATTTTTTGGATCCTCTGGCCTCTTTCCAATTGCATGTGACTCCTAATAATGCAAGAAATTAGAAAGTTATTTGAATGCATTCTTTAAATAGTGTGGCAAGCATTAAACAGCATTGTAAACATGTCATGATTTATGCCAAAATGGTTCTCATTAAGGTTTTCCACTGATGGACTTCCTTGAATGGATACAGCTGTATGTTACAGAGATGTTGGCAAATGATTCTATTTTAGTATACATGCATAAGACTGGAAATTTTTAGTATGCCTTGTGGTTCTTAAGTTAACTGTCTCTAGATACTCTCAAGAAACAATGTGTTTAGATTTAAATTATTTCCTTGTCCATCAGCAACCCGCACCACTGTATGATCTTCATGGTTCCCAGCATTTTTATATAGTGAACTTCAGACAGATTCTTTTAGCCACAGAACTATTCAACACCACAGAACTATACAGCACCATATTCCTAAATCAGAAAAGTGGACAGAGAATCCAGCCACCTACCAGAGAATATGGTCCCACCTTCTTCAACTCAAAAAGAAATTTAATAGGAGGACAGCATTGTTCCACATAATGGGAGTAGCAGAACCCAGATTAATTAGTGAGTGATACTGGGAATAGCTATCATCTTGTACAGCAATCATCCAGCCTAAATGAGTGCAAGGTGTGGAAATCCCATTCCATTGCCCTGACAACTAAACAGAAGAAACCTCATATTCTGCTTAGGATAAAATAAAAAGGTCAACACTAAGTTTCTTCTCCAACATCTTCCAAATGTACCCTAAGAAAACTAAGGTCACAAGACATCTTACACATGGTTGGAGAATGCTGGGGGTTTCAGGACTTTTTTTCTGTCTAAATATGTGCAGGATTGCACCTTAAACTTTAAGGTGTTGACAAAGTTTTGTGACATCAGAAGAATATAAAACCTGGACTTTTGAGATCATGGATTAGAAGACATGGATCAGAAGGCAATGTCCTATTTAATATGCAATGCAGTTCCCATGCAGGTGGTGCTACAGCAACTCTTAACATCCGTTAAAAGCAGTGTAGTGTAACTGATGGGGTCTGAACCAGCAGTGACCATCCACAAAAGAGATCTTGAGGGTATTGTGTGAAACCATCAATTTACAAAGAAATTCCATGCTAAAGACTACTGGGACAGGGATCAAAAATTAAAATTGCATGTATGTAAAATGATTATGATACTGGCAATGTCATATCATCTATAATTTTAGTTGCTCCACCTTCTACCAAATCCACAAAATGTTGGCTCTCAAAAATGGGATTACAGAGCTGGAAAGAACAACCAAAACAATTACAGGGTTGGAGCAAGGTTCCTGCAGAGAATAGCCAACATGCTTTTGGCTTTTTGGTATCAAAAAAAGGCAACTAAAGGAGGTAAGGAAAAAGATGCAACTTGATAAAATTGTGCAAGGGGAAGAGAAAGTGCATGCATATGGCATATTTGCATAAAACAGTTCTTTAACTGCCATAGTGTAGGGAGGCCTTCCCCAATCTGGCTGGGGTTGATCGGAATTGTATCCAAAACAACAGGAGGGCGTCCACTTTGAGTGTGCTGACCACTGCTCCTTTTAGTGCTAACTCAACAGCCGGTGACCTTGCACTGTGCTTTCAATCCACACAGTCTCCTCTGACATGACAACTCATGGGGTGCCACATGGATACAGCCTGAACAGGACCATAGCAGAGGGTATTCAACAATCTACTGTGTATTCAGACTTGTTTACCAGCCAGCCTAGGTACACAGGGTGGACAGCAGCAAAACTAAAGAAGTCTTACCATCTCATAAATAAATGTTTCTTGTCTACATGCACGATCTACACTGATGTTTTTTTCTCGCCTCTGCAGAGCCCTTTGCCTAATTCTAAAGAGCAGAGAAAAACAAAACAAAAAAGGGGAAATGCTATTTTATCTAAACAGTAAAAAGTAGGACTTAAAAGGCACATCAAAACTCGCATAGTATGGATTACAAACAAACTGATCTAAACATGAGCAAGCAGCACCTACAACAGTCATCCTAAAGCAAGACAGGTGAAGGTTTCTTGGAAACCTGTTCACTGTAATATGTTTCTGTACCGCATGGCCCGTATCTGATGCATGATCTGTAATATTTGGATAGACGTAAGTTTTGATGAACTGGAGTGCTGTTTGCCTACAATTAAACTGGCATAAAGCTGAATGAGGGAAACCAAGTTGTTCTGGTTAAGGAGGGAAGTTTAAATAACCAATGTTCTATCGTACTCTAGGAAAGCTACAGGGGAAAAGTGCTGAATGGCAACATTACAACAGATGTTTTCCACTCAGAAAAAGCTGATTAACATAAGCAAAATCTGCCAAAATTGAAGCGGAGGAAGACCTCAGATTTTCAATTTAAAAAGTACCATTAACTCTCCTCCCTCAGTTCTCCCCTTTTTCTTCCTTCAGGCTCTTTGTCCTCCGTTTCAGTATTCTTGCCCCCCTTTCCTTTACAAGTTCAGCAACTGCCAGCAGTTATCAGTCTCCCAACATGTCACATACTGAATAATGCAGTGGTCTATGAAGCCTCTGAATCAATGGAGACACGTAGACAAAATGCCATAGGCAACCTAAGACTAATGGAAAAAGTACAAGAGTTTGTTCCATCAATGCAGGGATGTTGAGCCTCTTTTAGCCAAGGGCCATGAAAAGCTCTGGGTGGCTACATTCCAGTAGCAGGTGGGTTACCACAAACAAAAGCGGAAGGGCTAAAAAATATGCAAAAAACACCAGCGCATTTAGCTTAAAGCTTTAACTGCCAGTAACTAAGCCTTAAGACAGATATTTCAAAAAACACCAGTTGGCAAGCAGGCAGAAGAAAGGTAGTATGGCTGCCCAGGGAACCCCGAAGGGCTGCACCATGACCCTAGGTGGCTGAACACCGCCACACTTGTGGTTGTGTGTTCTGCTAACAGTGGCTGAACCACTGGCCAGTGGAACAAACTGCACAAAGAGCACAAGGGCTTGCACAATAGCAATTACTGAATTTGAGGCTCATGTAAGAATCAAAATGGATTTTTTGCAAGTGCTACAAACCTTGAATTAGCAGAACCCCACTGGATATTACCCCAGTAACTGAGGCATTCACAGATCTCCACCCCCAATTTTAATGCACTGTGGCTGCATGTAACATCCACATAAATACTTAGAATGGGGCTATAATATAGTATTAGAGTTTCCCAGTTGATTACAGATTGATGGGAAGGAGACTGTGAGGATCTGCAGTCCTTGTTGGTGTTGTGACAAAGCTCGGCAGAACCATCCCTCTAGTATTTGCAGACTTCCTTTCATCCTTGGCCCTATTTTAGAAGGTCTGCTAAGCCGAAAGGAAGTCTGTGAACATTTGCAGAATGAAGGTTTTGGGACTGGCAACCTTCTACCACACCACACACAGCACAAACAAAAGGCTGCTGCACATGATATGGAAAAGGGATGCTGCTTGCGCAGGGGTTGTGCTGGGCTCAGTTCCTGGCAAGCATCACATGAACCCTGGGCATGCTCTCCAGGAACCTGGACTCATGGCTGTGACAAAGCAGAATGGGATCCAGGGAGCTGAGCCCAGGAAATCCAATGGATTTCCACCCCAAAACAGATTCCTTCCACATCCCTGGCCCTTGTATTATGCAAAACTGTGTACATTTTCAGTGCTACACACACACACACACACACAGCTTTTTTTCCAAAACTGTATAATATCCCTATTAACTATGCCTAATAATATAAACTTGAATGCAGCCTTGATCTTTTTCCTGATTCTTATTTACATACTCAGTAACACTCAAAAAAATATAACAGTATTAAAGTAGTTTAAAAAATTGACTAGGCTTGCACTTAGAATAAAATTCAGTGTACCTAAGAGTTATCAAGTTAGTGTCTTCACGTATCACTTCAGTATCTTCTTTATCTGAGCTCTTCAGTGCATCAACTCTAGAAACAAACAAGCAAATAAAAACATTAGATCTACTTTCACATGAAAAGCAGTCGCTCAGTATGCATGTAATGGTGGCAAACAATAAATTTGCCATAGTGAGTGCTGCTGCCTCTTTAAAAATCAAGCACTAATCAGCCTAACTGGAGATCGCTCTGCGATTCCTGAACCTGGACTAAGGGTTAACCATGGGTAAATCAACCTACAATTAACAATTAGCTGTTAGGTTAATTTTGGATTGTTCAACCCATCTGAGTTCAAATGTTGTGGAGCAAAGCCTAGCCAGGCCAGTAAGAGGCCACACATTCACAGTAGCAGTGGCACACAGGATGGCAAACTGTGTGTTTAGTAACCCACAATTATCTGCTATTACATCTGAACAGGCTCATGATATAAAGTATGTAGGAAGGCCTGACCATCTGCATTTTTGCTGAGAGCAGACCCAGGCGGCTAGAAAGAAAGTGATTTCATGATTAGAGGTTAGATTTCTGTTCCTACCACAGGCCTTCTACATTACAAATGCAGACGTTGTATTTAAATTGAATTCTCACAAATAGAAAAAGGAGGCGAACCTATTTCTTCAACTGTCCCGCCTTCAAACTGGTGGGGGCCCACTCCAAGGTTGAATGCTTCTCCATACCAAAAACTGCAATTCCCTCACTACAGAAAACTAGCATGTGAGGGAAAGTATCTTTGCCTAAATTTGAAATGCTGCATTTCTAAGGTGCAGTGTTGATTGTTTTTCTACAGAACAATTCACCATATAAATACTACTTGCAGTCGAGAAACAGGCTTAGCTCCTCACGTCTTGCTTGTGAGAAGTGGGCATGATGTGTTACAAGAAATATGAGACTGCCACAGAAATTGGCATCTAGGAGTATGCCCCCCCCGCCCCGCCTCCATAACATGTAGCATTCTCTCATTACATTTCTTTGACTGCTGTAGGAGAAAGCAGAGAATATATAATGTAAGCAGTTCAGGGCAAGTTACATGTTTATTATTTTATTATTTATTGTTATTACATGCATTTATACTCCGTCCTATCACTTCAAGCGCTCAGAAGGAAATGCAGGGATACCATTCCACAAGGCATTTCGGCACTTTCTCAGACTCCTATCCTTAGCCTTCATTTACATTTACCCAACAAAGGTATTTGCTAAATATATTTGGAATGGAAAATACCATACAATATGTGTTTGTGTCTGCATACAGACATAGTACTAGCTTCAATCTCTACCATGTGTCCATTGAATTGTTTCACTCTGTTTTAGTGCGGCTGATTTGCATGACCGCTGCAATTTAAGCCATGGCTTGTCTGCTTAAGCCTTAGTGCATCTTGGGCACTATTTCCCTAATTATTCACCTGTGCAGAGCCCAACCTGTACCACCTCTCAGAGGCAGCAGACAGGGTGCAAGAAGCTTACTGTTTCTTCTCCTCTCTTGCCTCATTGCTTGCTCACTGGGAAGGCAAACGTGCAGGAAGCAACAGCAGGGCGAGAGAACTTGAAGGACTAACAGTGAGCATCCTACGAGTGATGCCAATCTCTTTGCTAGTCCAATAGCGGCAAAGAGAAGAGTCGATGCTGCAAAGTAGTTCACAGCTTGTGTGAAAACATCTAAAAGTAGCCCTGCTAGTTCAAATGTAACCTACTATCCTGCATACCGCAGGTGGGGCAAGAGGCTGCAGCTAAGAGGACAAGACTTATGACAGCAGGAGGGTGTTGCAGATGAGCAGTGGAAGCTGAGAGAGTGACTTAACACCATTTTACAAATGTAGTCCAGTATTATTAGGCCAGTGTGGCAGACATGGAGCTATACCAAAGCTAAGAGGCACCTATGGTAACTGTGCAATGAAATCCACTGGTAATATAGCACAACATTGCACAACCTGGTGGTTTCCAGATGTTTTGCACCACAGCTCTCAGTATTCTTGACCATTGGCCATGCTGGGTCAGGCTGATGGGTACTGAAGTCCAAAATATCTGGAGGGCTCCAGGCTGAGGAAGGCTGAAAGCAGGTAAGAGTTGGTGCCAATACTGGTTTGGATTTCCAGCCAAAAGTCATTGAAAGAAAATCCTCCTTAAGCTGCAGTAAAAGTCAGCCTACTTAAATTACTCCTTCAGCCTAAATCCTGCCTTCAATTCCATAGAGCAGCCTTGTTCTACCCTGACCTGCGTGTACTTTAAACTGTGTTGAGTCCCTCACCACAGCTTTTCATATGAAATAAGAACTACACTAGAAAGCACAAAATACACCTTTAGTTGCTACTAAAGCGTATTTGGGACATCACAACTACGATAAAATCCTGAATTCTCCATTGATTTCTTCAAGCTGTTCCTTAAACCTCAGGTGGTGGAGGGGAAGGGAGAAAAGGGTTCTAAAGAATTGGGGAATTCAGTCTGTGGGTCATTCTATTATTATTTCTCCTATCTCCGCAATGCAATGTGAACTACTCGCAAAGTACAGTAGCATTACAATCTTTTATTTTAAAAGGCTGCAATTCTATGCAAATTAGCTTAGGAGAGAGTCCTCCAGAAGACTTCTATCGCAGGAAATACGCACAGAATGGGGGTGCATCTACCCTGCAGATTGCAACCAGAACCCATCTTTTTTCAGAAATAAAATCCCTTTTAATTTAATGGGACCGATTTACTAGTTAGGCAAGAATAAGACTGCACACTTGCAGCCCAATCCCCTGCATGGCTGCTCCTAAATTAAGTCTCAAACAGCTCAACGGATTTTGCTCCCAAGTAGACGTGTGCATATGACTGCAGTCTTAACGGAGCTAGGAACTATACAACGCCGCAATTTTTTGCGTGCCTACTCGGAAGTCTGCCTAAGTTCAGTGGGGCCTACTCCGAGGTAAGCGCGCATAGGATTGAAGGAACGCGTCGCAAGAGTCATTTCTCGGAAACCAGACGGGCCAACGACAGGACGGGCGACCCTTCCGGCTACCTGCACACAGCCCTCAGCTCGGCCGCGATCTCCGGCGTGCAGTTCAAGTCCTCGGCCACCGCAGCGTCGTCGTCCGCAAGCACGGCCTGCTGCAGAGACAGCTCCTCCGGGCGCAGCCTTTCCTTCCAGAGAGCAGCGATGGAGGCCACGTGTAGCACCCGAGAATTCAGCTCCACCGTCTCGTAGTCGGGGATGTCGCTGCTGCGGCCAGCGTCGCTGCCAGCCATTTTTGCAGCAGCGCGCAGGGAAGGGCCGGAGCGAGAGGCCTGGGTGGGCGCGCACTGGCTTGTGGGACTTATAGTTTCGCTTTCTCGGAGGCCCCTGGCAGGGCCACGAAGTTGGCCGCGCTTGCAGCTGTGCGGCTTAATTTCGGGCAAAGTCTGAACCTTTCCTATTTACGGGAAGGGATGCCAGTGTGCGCGCAAGCGCGCGTGTGTGCGGGGGAATATTAAGGGCGAACGCAGTGCCGTCTCGGGGAGACTCAGAACCCTTCCGTTCATGAGTGATTTTATAAGAGCGTGTGTAATTTTACGGTTAGCCAGAAAGGCAGCATCTGACGCCTGACCTAGATGACTTGGGTTTGTGTTAGCGTCGTGTGAATGTGTTACCTTGGTATCGCTTTGTTCATTTTGTGATAAACCGATGACAATATACAATCAGCTCGATATGATCTCTCGGTAGAAGATCAAAACATTAATAGGGAGTGAGGCTGGAGATGCACCCTTCGTGTAAATATTCAAATACGCCCCACTCTTTGATACGTAACACTTTTGCTTATTTTAAGGGGCAAGCAATCCTAGGCATGTTTAGACCGAAAAAGTGCTGGCTGAGGAATGCTGAGAGTTGTAGGACTTTTTCTTGTGTAAAATTGCATAGGCTTGTGCCCTTAAACTCAGTTTGAAATTGTTCTGCCATTTCATTTTAGTTGTATTTCATTCTGGGGTTTGCGACTTTGCGACTGAACGACAAATTCTTTTGTTAATGTTAGCTGCTTTAAGCGCTCTATGATTAGAAGAGTGGGATATAAATAATAAAAGCTTATTTAAAAAAAACTATAAAAAAACAACTACCTTAAAGACTAACTTTTTAGTCTTGTGCCACCTTAAAGACTAACCTTTTTAAAGCACTAGTTAATTTTTAAAATGTTTGTTGGTTTTGCTGCATAATAGAAACCCACAGCTACCCACTGGAAAGAGTTTCAACCATAGACATAATCTGACAATTAATTTAGTTTTCAGATCAGTCTAGTATATTTGTTTTAAAAACATACATGTTATTAGATGCTGTGATCAATTCTGAATTATGTTTCTAAGGCCATGCAATATTGGATCACTTAGTCTTCCATTAAGTTACTTTGTCAACCACTGCCTGATGGGTTTGATTAAAAATGTGAATTTCATCCACTCTTAAGAAATCATTTAGGAGTGTGATAGTGATTTTAATGTGCATCTTTGATTATAGAAAAGGGTCTTTTTGAACAAGGTTCCTGTGACTTTAATAGCTGTTTGCTGGCTAGAAAATCGGCAAATGAATCTTGCCTAATCACTGGATATGCCAAGATAATCTGCACTTGTTGAACACCTACTGGTCAGGCAGTAGTTACAGCCCAGCTCTCCAACTTTTGGAATGCAAAGATTGTGTCTGTTGTGCTTGTGCATTCATCAAATGGACTTGGCCTATCATAAAACACCGACTTCCCAGAAGAGCTAATGAGATTAAAAGAAAAATAACTTGTCCTAAAACCAAAGTATAAGAGAGAAGTCACTTCTGAATTCTGCTTCTATAATTAGGATTTCATCTTCTCTGGATTAAGTTTGACCATCAGTCCCCAAACCACTTTCAGATCAGATCTCACACCTACAGGTAAATAGTTTATATTGTGTTCTTTGCAAGGACAATTAACTGTGTGCTGTTATCTCCATGAGTACATTACGTCATGAATCCCCTTCATGAAGCTTGAAACGCACCTGACAATGTGGTGACATAATCCAACTTTTCATGATCACATTGTGCATTCTGTGGTAGAACTGCAGAAATTAGCAAAAAGACTAATTTGAAGATATTGGACATATGAAATTATCACTACATGAGTAACAAAGCTCAATTGTGTGCACCTGTTCTGATTAGAAAATTAGTGATTACAGTACATTATCTGGTCATTAATTGCTGACATTGTTCCAGACTTAGAATTCAAATGGAGATTTTCCTGGTTCTGCTCAAGGCCCATACATCAGCTTCTGTGCTTGGCTCTCTCTATCATGTCTCTGTGTGACTGTACAGAATCAAGGAGAAGCCCATCATCATAATCAAACACTTAGTGTGGTGACCACATTTGTCAGAGATGTTTGTCCATTCTTGGAAATTTTGTGAGGGCTCTTTGAAGAAGAGGGAGGAAACATGCTTGTCTCTGTAGAAATGGAATTTCAACCCCTAACCCTATTCTTTAAAATATGGAGAAATGTATCCTATACCAGTCAATTTGTTCCTAAAGAAGAGCTGATAGAAAGAACCAAACATCCACACTGCAAGTCACAATAAGCTTAACATCATTTGGTAGGTAAATGACCAAAGTATTGAAGAAAGGAAAACTGTTCACCCCAGCAGGAAAGAAAATGTAGCACTCATTTTGTGCCTTTGTATTGGCTGCTGAACCAGGAAGAGGATCCCAGTGACTTCAGACATAAAACTAAGGCATGTACTTCAGCATTCCAGTGAGTGAACCAACCGGGAAGGCCTTGTAGTCACAAACAGCCACTCATCATTACGTGTGTTGTTTCTGAAGCAGGCATCCTCACGCAGATGCTGAAGCTGATACTGCCAAAACACTTGACAAGCACGTTCACACATTGCTTCTGTTAATGCATTTCTAAATTTGGTAGGCTGTAGAACATCAGAAACATCTAACCTCCGCAAAGGTAGTGATTGTGTATGCCTGTATGCCAGTTGCAGAGATCACAAACAGGAGGGTGCTTTTGTACCTTTGTCTTACACTAGCAGCTGCTTGGCCACTGTGTGCCAGGAAAAATGAACTAAACTGGCCTCTGGACCAATCCAACATGGTAGTTCTTACACTCTTATGGTAATAAGGTCTACCCTCAAAGCAAGATGGAGCCAAATATTTTCCTGACAGCTCATACATTTTCCTTGTATCTCAAACCCATGACGATGATTAGACTGATGATGGAGGAACAGTCGGGACAAAGCTACCAGTCATGTACTATGATGATGATAGTGGGAAAGAAATTGTCATTTTCCACTGCCATTGGATCCACCCAAAGACACTAGAGGATCAGTTTCAATGAGTAAAAGATCTACTATATCAAGAACTAGAGAGAATTGAGAATGGTGTCTTGTGAGCCCACTGTGATGACTTTGCTAGGCAGCTCAAATAAAGCCACTCATATCTGCTCCACCAAGATGCCATGCTCATGCCAGATTTTGGGTGTACTTTTGCCTTGTGCTTGCCCAGTTGTGATGTGTTTCAAGTTATATAGCTTAAGGAAGTGGGCAGGATCATTGATAGGTAAGACCAACCATATGTGCATTTGAGCTTTGCCATTAAACAGCCAGAAGAGGCTTGATCAAGTAGGTAGGCAAAATTATTAATTTCTCCTCAGAGGAAGACATAATTCCATCTAGCCCAAAGGTGGCCTAAAGCGTATATGAGCTTTGTTGAAAAGGCACCCTCTGGATCCCAGCATGCTGAATAACTACCAACCAGTCTTAAATCTGCCATAGTTGGGCAAGGTTTTCAAGAAAGTACTGGCATCTCAGCTCAGGGTTCTTGGATGATACATCTAGACTAAGGTTGCAGGGGCATAAGTTGGGGGAGGCACATGACTTCCATCCAGCCCCCCATGCTGCCACAACAGTGACATCAATGTGCATAGCCACAACTACCTGGTGTGACCAGCTCCCTAGCTCAGCCCCCAAGTGAATGATTTGCCCAGTGTTTGGACTATAGACTGTACTTCGTGCACATGGGCTTTCCCAATTAGGGAAGTCCTGCATACATTGAAGAAGAACCACCTAGAGGAGCAAAAGGAAATTGATAACTTTGCTTCACTATATGTTGGGCTTTCCTAACCAGTAAAGTACACATGCAGTGAAGCTGGTTAAGTCCCCTTCATTCCACAGAGGAACAGTTGGGACCTGGCCTGGCCTGCTTCACCTTCCCTGCTTCTGTCCTGCAATGAAAGCAGGATGATCAAAGCAGAGTCTGCTGGCTCCCCATCACTCCTCCAGAGGAGCAAAGGGAACTTACTTGGCCTGGCTTGGTTTGGCTGCATACGGATTTTCCCACACACGGAAGCCTTGTGTGTAACGAAGCCAAGCTGGCCAAATCCCCACCTCTGCCCTGTCGGAGGAGCAACTCCAACTGCAAGGCTGTTGCTGGCTGTGCTCTGGCTTGGCCTGCCACATCTCCTTTCCACAATGGGGGACGGAAGCAAGGCAGGGGAAGTACAGCTGGCCAGGACCCTGCCATTCCTAGAGACCCGGACAGCCCTAGCTTTGCTGTGAGCAGCAAAGCCCTTGCATCGTGACATGGCACAGGTAAATCTCCATTGTTCTCTCCCACCTGGGATGACATATTGGTGATAACCCTGGGGATTCTTCCACACACTGCCCTCTAACCTTGCAGGGACAAGGGATATGAAGGGAACAGGGCCTGTGAAGGTGGCACACGCCTCCATGAACCAATTACAGAGCCATCACTGGCTGAAGGTTCAGCTCCCCGGATCTGGATGAAGCCTAACAAAGCAAGGCTGAATTCAGCCAAGACAGGGCTAATCCTGGTCAGGAAGGAGTCAATGAATAGGCATCACTTTTGAAGGATGAGCTTTGCAGCATGGAGTGCTCCTCTCCTGGGCATGATACCCGGATGGCCAAGCTTTCAGGAGTGGCTTTCACCAGTTCAGGGTGCTGCACCCATTGCCATCTCTCCTGAGGTCACACTTGGCTGCAACATCTCATGCCTTATTTATTCATTTAAAAACACTGTTATAGCACTTCTTAGCCAAAACCACTCCCATAGTGGTTTACACACAGTCAATAAAAACAAGAGAGCCACTGCCCACAAATTTATAGTCGAAAAAGACATGGCCCCAAGGGAAAAAGAGATGGGGAAGGAGCTGGAAGGAATCAAGTTGTCTTTCAGTGGTGCTGATGGAAAGTCTCTGCTGCCCGTCTCATTTCCCTCTGCTAGAGCCTGCTGGGACTACAACTGGTGATGATATCGCAAATTTCAACCAGATTGGATTATTGCAAGGCACGTTGCC